GGTTTAGGGTTTAGTGTCAGGGTTTAGGGTTTGGGGTTTCTTCAACAAACGTATCCTTCCAAACTGTTGGCATCTTTTGGCATTCCTCGACCCTACCTGAAATTGAAAGGGGGTTGAATTTCCGGGTTACAATGTGAGGACCCCCACCATTATTCCTGAATTGAGTTCAGTGGAGTCAATAGTCTAGTTTACACGACTTATACCCTAACTACATGTGTTTATGGCGTCATATCGTTTTTGTGTTTTTTTGTTGCAGGGCTTGGTGCTACAAGTAGTTAGGCAAGGCTAAGCACACTTTGGCATCACCGCCCCTTCGAGTTTTGTAGCCAATAGTACTTACTTAGACTGGAGAGTATTCCATGAATAACTGTTAGAGGGACGGTCTTTCTAAGTCCTCGCACGGGTCTTGGTCTTTGTCTAGCTTCCCAGTGGCACCCTTCTGTACATTCTCAGTTTTAGGATTTTAGGGCGCCCTTGCTAAGATTTGAGTAGCGGGAGAAAGGGTACCCTGTTCATTCTCAATCCCAAAGCCGTCAATCCCGAAGCCCCTAAATCCTAAAACCCTAAGTGCAAACATGCAGGCCGTGCGGACTCATTTGTGTTCGCAGACGGTCGAAGGCCGGACAGGAATGGCTTTAGGGTATAGGATTCAGGGGTTGTTTAGGGCTTTACGGTTTGGAGGTTTAGGGTTTAGGAAGGGTTTCTTAGAGGTCGAACTAAAATTGGTTCATTTCGAGGGCCTTTCTATGTTATGAAATACCTTACCACACCGCGCTCGTGTTCATGTGAGACGAACACAACGAAGCGCAGCACCACTTCTGGATACTCACCGAGAGAAGCGTCAAAAGCTTGCGACCCCTACTCACTATTTTTTGCTAATAAAGAAATCACGGCCCTTGCAGTCAGAACCGCCACGCTACACTACAGTCCCCACCAGAACACACAAATGCCTGTAGCACCGTAGCGGGCAGGTGACAAAGGGACCCACACCTACGTCAAAGCGTCAAGCTTAGCCTGAATGTCCCGCTCTAAGCTGGACTTCGGAGCTGTGCCATATTTTTCCTGCCCACCAACCTTGGTCAAGGCTGCCATTACGATGTCCAGGATGCCCTCCATTGCAGGATGCGCGGAAAAGTAGAACCGCATGAACTTCTTGTCAAACGTCTTCTGCATGCGAGCGTACATGACCTTGTCGAGGAGACTTGACGGGCCACCACGGTTGGCATCATCCGCATGATTTTGCATTGTCGCTTTAGACCCGATGACAGCAGACCGCACGTGAACATGCGGCTCTCCGAGATCTTGTTTCCCACCTTCGTCCCAAGTGCGATCCGCAAACGCAGTGGTAGCGTAACGAAGTGGCAGTCTGCTGGGACTAGTATCGTACGGAAAGTCGCCGCTTGAATCTCCTTCACTTCATCAGCGGTGCGCAAACTCAACTTCGCCAAATCCACAGGGAGGTCGTGATCATGCCCATCAAGAGCATCATCTGTCCTCCGCTGTTTGGGCACCTAACCATCATTAGCCATCCAATTCATGGCTGGAGGTTGCACTACGCAGCACGGGTCGGCAAAGACCTCGCAAGACAATGTTGAGCATAGCAATAATAGCCACAAGCAGAACCACAAGCTATATAGGAACAGGACCAGTCGCTCGCTTGCTTTCTATACAGCCCGAGACCAGGTATGTCGGTGAAGTTGCACAGTGCTCCGCGTTTTACCTTTGCGGTTCTGGCTACCTCCACCAAAACTAAACCCGCAAAGGAACGGTACCCTTGTTGCGATAATATACTTGCTGGACGACGTATTTACGCAGCCCTAAACCCTCAGCCCTATTCCCCCCAAAAGCCTCGTCTGGATCTCGTCTGATTGTTTCCTGCCTGTATCCAGCAGCCCAAATCCCAAATGCCAAACCCTAAACCCTGAACCCGAAGCCCTAAACTCTAGGTCCGAACCCCTACACCCTTGGACCTTGATTCCTAAACCCGCCTAAACCCTAAATCCCAAACCCTAAATCCTAAACCTTATTAAACACTTTGAACCGTACACCTCAAGCCCTGGTCCGAAGCCCCTAAACCGCAAAGCCTGAACCCTAACCTCACGGGTCCATGTGCCCAAGTATTATGGACTGTGGCCTTAAAGTAGTCCCTATACAGGTACAAGAGGGCCAAAGTACATAACATACTGGGGTATAGGGACCCTTAGAGTGCGCCATGAACCCTAAGCCTTACATTCCGAACTATGGACCCTGCTCCTTACTAAAACTCGCTTTACCTAGGCCTTAATATTGCTCAACACCCTAAGCTAAACCCTGCGTGCCTGAACCGAAAGCCCCTAAATCCTCGATGTCATAAACATTCAGCCAAACCTCAAACCCTCGCGTAAAGTACCATTCTGGCATACTTACAGCACCCTCGTAGCACCCGTTCAGGAGCCCTTGTCTTACCCATATCGTACGCTTCCCTAAACCCTAAACCCTATAAACCCTATAAACCCTATAAGCCCTATAAACCCTATAAACCCTATAAGCCCTAAAAACCCTATAAACCCTAAACCCGAAACCCTAAACTCGAAACCCTATAAACCCTATAAACCCTATAAGCCCTAAAAACCCTATAAACCCTATAAGCCCTAAAAACCCTATAAACCCTATAAGCCCTAA